GAGGGACAGTAGGGGGTGGGGAGTTGGGGAGAGATAGCATGGGGAGAAATGCCAGATACAGGTGAAGGGGAGGAAGGCAGCAAATCATACTGCCACATGTATACCTATGCAACTATCTTGCATGTTCTTCACGTGTACCCCAAAACCTAAAATGCAATAAATAAATAAATAAATAAAATGTTAACATTCCTAAAGTATCTGGGACACTCTGATCTTCCATAATCTGCAGAAATTTCAAACCTCATAGGATGCCCATGATTTTAAAATACTTTATAACCCATATTCCATCCAAATTAACTTAGATACATTAGGTAACTGTACTAAATGGTCCAGCTTATGAATCTAATTGCTCAGCACATTTATGCTGAATTCTAATTTATGAACAATAACTGATTTGGCTTTCTGTGGAGTCATATATCTCTTTTAGCTTTTTAATCTATGAAAGAGGTATCACTGTAACACACTTGGCTTTTTATTCAATGCTTCCGTAAGTTCAAAACAGTTCAGAAAATGACCATTCAATAATTACTACTCAACATAGGGAAAGAATCCAGAAACAAAAGAATAGGCAAATATAGTTTTGATTTTGTTCTATTTAGCTTTCACATTTGTGAATAGGAGTTTCCTTCACTTGAAGGAAAAGTGTCCCTAAAACATCATTTGCTTCCCTTCCAAGGCAGAAAAACACAGAAAGCTGCTTCCATTCAGAACACCTGACCCTAGTCCTATCTTGTTCCTTGCTTTGCCATCCTAAATCTGCTTACCAAGTTTGGTGATTTCTGTTTCTGCTAATGGAACACTCTGTCAGAAAACCTTTTTGTAACAGTAAGCAATAATATGGATTCTTTCTATTCAGTGTAAACTAATCCAAGAAAATAACTGCACAATTCGAGAACCAAAAGAGTCAGGACAACTACTATAATAGGACATTTAACAGGCAACCAAGGGCCAGAGCGTTAACAAATGAAGTCAAAGTCCCACAGCTAGTCAGTAACAGAGGTGGCCTACTTAGCCAGTACAGAGGGAGCTCCAAAAAGACTTATTATTTACATTGTTTCCTAAAGTATGTTTCTGAGAAAAGTAAATTCCAGGATGTTAATAGCTGTTGGGAATAGGGGTAAGGTTCCGAAATAAGACTGAAAGTCGCTAAGTTAAACAAAGTCAACAGATGCGTTTTTGTTTTGTTTTGTTTTTTGCTGCAGGACTTAGAGGGGCCTTTACTATTTACTGTTTTTATGGAAATACAAGGAGACCAAGTCAGTACTGTTTTCCAAACATTTTTAGTCATGCAGTTTTTGTTTAGTTTTTAAAAATACTTTATGGGTGAAATGTTTCATAAAATATATTTTGGGAAATGTAAACGCTAATATATGCAACAAAAATTACTTGAGACTTTTCAGTTTCAGTACATTTCATTCTCTGTTTATGTGTAAGAAACATACACACAAAGCCAGAAACATAAGCCAACACGAACTGGCTCAACAATATGCCAGAAAAATCAAATTCATAGTCTGTAATATAGAATAAGGACTTTTAATACTAGGATGGGTATATATTGGTTGCCTACCATATGATCTACAAAACCAGGAGAATTCAAATGCATTTAACAAGTTTCAGGTCACACAGACTATGCAACATTACTGGAATTCCTGCCTTTAGTTCAGCTGCTTTGGAATTGTAGTCAGCAGAATAGTGATGCAGTCGAGAAAGCACAATAGTCACTGTCAGTAACAAAATGCGGTTTACACAGGAAGAAAAGTCAAGATGCTTTGACTTTGAATGCATGGAAGTGAGAAGGCATGCAAGGTCACAGGACTCAGCACAAACCTGAGAGCTGTCTTTATTCTCTGAGGCCCCCAAATTACAATCTGTGTAAGAGAATCCCTGAATCAGGAAAAAGCAAGATCTTTCCATCTCTGCAAGTCTACTGTAAAACCACAGGAATGAAACAGCTTGTTAGGCTGCCTGTGGAATTTGTTGTCTGTACGCCCACAGGGCTCAGGCAACTGCTGAATAAGTGCATTGGACCTTTCTCCAGGACAAACCTTGGCCCAGTCTAGGTATGTGGTGGCTTCTGCAGCCAGTGGGTTTTCACAAAGTGGGAAAGATAGAACTGTTGGCTGGGGCCCAATACAGACTTTTGACAAGGTGGAGGCCTCTGCAGGAGGATTGCATCAATGAATCCACTCAATATGATAACCTCTGTTCTGCTGAGAAGGCAGCTTCTTCAATGTAGGTGAAACTCAGGACATTTCCTCTGTGTAGGGAAGCATTATCATCTCATTTTTAAAATGTTCATATTATTAAAAAGTAAAGTTTTATTGGAATTTCCTCCCACAAAACTTAAAATGCCCTAATTGCAACTGGTTCTTTTAATATTAGGGAATGCCCAAGAGGGTATCTGAAGAGGCTTTAAAGGTGGGCCATGTAACTTTTGCCATTTTACAGATGGACCGTACAACAGCACAGCAAAACACTGACAACATTCTAATGGTAATTAGGACAAGCGTTCAACGTAGCAATCTGTATAAAGGATGAAATGGTTTCCCTATAACCCACCTCATATCCAACATGTTTTAAATTTAGAGGGTAAGGGAAGAGAGAGCTGAAGGAATCAGTAATATATGAGAGAAAAATATCAAGTAGGAAAGGAAGGCAATAGAGGGAGTATCTTCTCTTTCCACATTACGCACTGCCCTCCAGTGAAAAATTTCAAATCCGTTTTCTCTTTTAGGAATAATATATGAATATTGAAAAAAAGTTAAGCACAAAGATAAATAAGCACTTATAACTCTAGCATCCTTCACTAAAATGTTGGTATATATCCTTCCAGACTTTTTAGTACACCTATATATGCCAGAAATAGGATCATATCTATACATTGTTTTGTAACCTTACATTTTTACTCAATGATATGCTGTGCACATCTTTCTATGTCATAAAAAATAACCCTGGCACTCCATCCGTAAGAGCAATGAAACACCAGGTAAGGAATACGGACTCTGGGGTCAAACAGGTGAGAATTCAAGTCTCATGTTGGCTGCTTTGTAACAATTTGACCCTCAGGAAGCGGTTATTTTCTCTAAGTCTCAATTACTTATTGAAGCAATAGAGAACACAATGATACCTCCTTCACAGGCTGCAACTAGAATTAAATAAAACAATGCATGTAAGGTACTTAGCAAATGCCTGACATGACAGTTCTGTGCTCGATGTTAAGCAGCTGTCATTATTAGTAGTAGTATTCCATTATGATTATATTAGATTTTAGAAAAATTCAATCCACTATTGTTTGGCATTTAGATTACTTCTGATGTTTTAACTTTTTATTTTAAAATCATTATCAACTTACAGGAAGTCGCAAAACAAGTAAAGTCCCACATATCCAATACCCAGTTTCTCCCAGTATTTACATCTTACGTATCTACACTACAATATAAAAATGTAGGAATTGACATTAGTATAATCCACAGATTTTATTCTGATTTTACCATATTTCCATGCACTTTTCTGTTTATGTATGCGTGGGTATGAGTAAATGAAATTTTATCACATGTCCACATTCCTGTAACCAGCACCACAATCAGCATACAGAAGAACTTTGCATCACTACAAGATCCCTTGTGCTACCCCTTTATAATCACATTCCTCTTTTCCTCCATCTCCATAACTATATCATTTCAAAATGTTTATGTAAGTGGAATCCTACTGATATGGTTTGGCTGTGTTGCTACTCAAATCTTATTTTGAATTGTAGCTCTTATAATTCCCATGTGTATGGGAGGGACTCCATGAAAGATAATTGAATCATGGGGGGTGGTTTCTCCCATTCTATTCTTGTGGTAGTGAATAGGTCTCACAAGATCTGATATTTTATAAGGGGTTTCCCTTTTCACTTAGCTTTAATTCTCTCTTGCCTGCCACCATGTAAGACGTGACTTTTGTCTTCCACCATGATTGTGAAGCCTCCACAGCCACTTGGAACTGTGAGTCCATTAAACCTCTTTTTCTTTATAAATTACCCAGTCTTGGGTATGTCTTTATCAGCAGCATGAAAATGGACTTATATACCAATACTATGTAATGTTTTGAGATTGGCTATTTTCTCCCAGCATCATGTCCTTGAGATCCATCCAAGTTGCTATGTATATCAATAGTTCGTTCCTTGGTATTGCTGAGTAGTATTCCATTGTGTGGATGTACTGCAGTCTGTTTAACCATTCATCTGTTGAAAACCATTTGAGTTTGTTTCCAGTCTTTGGCTAATACAAATAAACTTACTCTGAACACATGTATAGATTTGTGGACATAAATTTTCATTTATCAGGAACAAAGGCTCAGAAATGAGTGTTGGGTTGCATAGTAAGTGCATGTTTAGTTTTATACAACACTGCCAAACCTTTTCCAGAGTGGCTACACCATAGCCACAAACAATGTATGATAGATTAAATGTATGCATTCCCACCAGCATTTGATACTATATTTTCTATTAACTTTAGCTCTTCTAATAGGTGTGTAGTGACATCTCATCACGGCTTTAATTTGCATTTTCTTAATGGCTAATGATGTTGAATACCTATTTCTAATTTTTGATGTGACAATGCAAAAATGGATATCTCTGCTTGGATAAATTTTAAGTTAATTAATTCCTACAATGAATTCTTCAAAGTGGAATTGCTGGATGGGCAGATTTAAAAAAATAGTGGGAACATAATATCAGATTGCCATCTAGAATATTACCAATTCACACTCCCATCAGCATTACATGAATTGCTCAGCCTTTAAAGTACTAACTCTCTCTTTGTCTCCCCAACAAGGTTAAAAAGAAAGTTCTTGCCAATACATTCTCCACTACCAGGGAAATAAAATAAAAATTAGATTTCCCTAAATCTTAATAGAGCAGAAAATGAACCAACTAAGATACTCTAAGGACATCCCACATTTAGACATGCATTTAACATTTTAATCAAACACATTAGGAAGAAAGAAAACTCATTTACCTTTATGGGCAATATGACACAGATCTTCTTGCATTTTAGAAAACTCTGATGAGGTTTCAGAGCCATCAGAATAATTTTTCTCTTCTCCAAAATCTAGTGTTGACAAATTAGGATTGGAGGAGTGTAGTCTTACTGGGCCAGAAAAAGGTTTGGGGACCTGAAGTAACACCAAAGGGAGATATTTATTTTCGGATGCAGATTGCTTAGAATATTTACTTGATTCTAAGACTGAAATATAGTAATAGAAAACACTTTATAGGTAGGTCTTTCTACTGCTTGATAACTTATTTTTAAAAATGAGAACTCCAGACAAAACTTTCCTCAGCAATTTGCTTCTTGTGAACTAAAAATGGGTGAGAAATCACATATTCTTTTAGAAAGCTTAGAAGCATTAAAGCTACAGGTTGAAAATGACAGCTAAAACTGCCCGACTTTCTCATTTATACTCAATTCCTTCTTCTTGGCAATAATCAAAATGGATACGTTTAAAATGCTTTCCTTTGCACCTAGGGCTTCTAAAAAAACAAACGAACTTCATTTGCACATGGAACATTCTTTGCTTTCTAAGTGCTTATCTTCAGTCCATAAAGTACTTTGAACCAGAGTGTACAAGAGTCTATCAGGAGACCTAACCAAAAGCTTGAGTGAAATTTATGCTGATTCTAAAAATGTTACAATTTAATATGCATCAGTTAAGCTGCAAATCTTGGCCTGTGGCTTAGCTGTGCATTGGGAAAGCTCCTAGCACAGTGTATCTTGGATGAGGGATTGGGACTTTGGCGGTAAGAGGCCAAGGAGAATCTGCACAATGTCCTGTGCCCAGAGAATCAGGCCTGCGGGCTTAGAGGAATGAGAATCCATGGAGCACCAGCAGATGTAGGTCAGAGCACACGGCAACTGCAGCACAAGGCACAAACACAAGCAGGAAGAGCACAGGCAGGCTCAACAGCAAAGAAGGGGAAACCAAAGTCCTAGAAATGGCAGCAGTCTTGCAACCTCACATCCTTTCTCCCTTAGAAAATATTCTCTCCCTTGCCCATGATCCACTATGTGCTTATCCTAGCATCCAGATAATCTAAGTGATTCAATTCATCTCTCTACAGAGGGCATTGAGAAGAACAGCTACAGAATATTCACTCATCTATTCTAGCTAAGTCAAGGTAGCTCCCGGCACATGGCATGCAGAGCAGGGCCAACGAAGAAACCAGTCTGTCAGGGGAAGCAATGGTTACCTGCAGCGTTCCTTTAGCATCTTTGCCAATAGCTCTGGACCGCCACCTCCGGTGCGATCTTTTTTCCTTTTTGGGACTTTCAAAAGCTCCACCCTTTGTTTCAAAACAGGAAAGAGAGCACAGACAGTAAAGTCCACCAAACCGATAGGGATAAATGCATAGCAAGGTGACCACCTCCATCCTCTTAATTTTGGCTGAAGCAACTGACCATAGCATCCCACTGTTAGTGAAAGGCTGGGAGGAGAAAGGAAAGCAGAAGAGGGCCAGAATGTCAACAGAAGAGGAGTCAGGCTCACCTGGATGGCATTGATAGCTGGTGCTGAGTATGTCCGATGCAGGACGTCCATGCTTTGCAGGAGCTGGCTCATTTCTACCAGGTAGGTGTGACAGTGCGCCAGGTCTGTGGGGGAAAAGAGGACAGTGCTCACAATGCTCCACTAGCAAGAGGGATCACTGTGCTGTCACCATGCCAGCTACTTTTTCTTATTTAGCTATATTTGATTTTTTTTCATCTGTAATGGTTGGAAATTTTACTTCCTTTTTTACAGGAAAGGCTACAGACTCCAGTGGCTAAGGCCATTAATCTTGAGAACCAGGTTGCCTCAGTTTGAATCTATTTAATGAACTTTGACTATTGAGAAAATTACAAAACTCCATGCCTCAGTTTCTTCATCAGAAAGATGGGGATAATTATACATCTAGATCACAAGAGAGTTGTAAGAATTGAGTTGATATTGCACAGTTCTTAGAAGAATGTCTGGCACCAAAAGTAAGAACTAAATAAATTAGCCATCATCATCATCATCATCATCATCATCACCAGTATGTCTAATCCTGTAGTAATACGCTGCCATTATCCACTTGTCAAGACCCAATGCACATTAAATTAATAAAACTAAAATGAAAGTTGTACTGGTCTCTAAGGAAAACTCTGTCAATCATGGACCTGCCTGAGGACCATAACGAGCCTCTGCAGATGGAGCTGAGAGGACGTAAGGGGAACTCTCTGACCAGATTCCAGCTGCTAACTCAAAAGATAGTCCATAATTTGCTGTTCACTGGATGATGAAGGATGTTTCTGTAGAAGAATAGAGGCCCAAATGCTTTAGGCTAGAGGCTCCCACACTTTGATATCATCAGAATCACCTGGAGACCTTCTTAAACCACAGCTCATTGGGCTCCACCCCTAGTTTTTGATTCTGTGCATCTGGGGTGAGCCTGAAAATGTGCATTTCTGATTAAGTTCTCAGGCTGGGTCGATGCTGCTGCTCCAGAGACAAGGCTTCAGGGACTGCTTTGACAAGATGTCACTCAGTAAAGCTCATGAGTCGTATTTATTGGAAGGCCAAAGCCTACATGGTCCCAAGGGTGATACTACCTGTATTCAACAGGAGATAATGCAATTTTCAAGGCTGCCACCCGATATCTTTCTCTAATAGTGGTTCTCGATCATAGCTACACGTTTAAATCAATTGGAGAAATCTTTTAAATAATATATGCCTAAATCCTACCCCTAGACAATTTAATCAGAACACTCCCAATCCCACTATGGATCTTTTTAGTTTTTAGTTCCCTAAGTCAGTCTTAGCTAATTAAGGTTGAGAATGCTGAGCTTCCTTATGGCAAGCACCTTATCAAAATCACTTGGGGAACTTTGGAAAATTAGTGATACCAGGGCCTTACTTCAGACCAATTTAAAGAGATTATTTGAGACAGAGGATTGGAAATGGGTATTCCTGCATTTTAAAAGCTCTCTGGGTGATGCTAATGTGCAGTCAGGGTAGAGAACACCTACATTGTGAAAATCTCCATCTGATCACCCCCTTGCCTCTAGCAAAATGATTCTCAGTCTTGGATGTGTGTCAGACTCTGCCCTTGGAGACTGACTTATAGGCCCACTTGGAAATCAGGCATCAGTATCAGGTATCAATACCCAGGAACAGAAGAAGAAACATGCCTGCATGTACAGCCAGGTGAAGACGTAAAGACCTGCATGAAGAGTGTCTTTTGTTGATGATGGGCGCAACCTTTACAAGCAAAATATAGAAGGGAATGTGGACAAGTGAAGGGGAAAGCCCAAAATGCACCTGAAGTGTAAACATCAAACCATTATCATCTAATGGCCATGACAGAAAGCAGAGGTTTCAAGTCACTCTACCTTTGGAGCATTTTTCCATGTCTTCTGAAGACTGCAACCATAATGGAACTCGTGTCTCACCACCGCAAGAAAACGATAAATTGCTTCCAGTTTGAAATAAATTCTGCTTTGATATACTGCTACGCTGTTCCACAGATGACAAAAGCACATTGTAAATAGAAACAGAGCCCAGCGGGGACATGTTAGGGTAGATGATAGCAGAGTGGGCTAGTCACCAATGGACACCACCTGCCTATAATGAGAAAGAAGCTTCTAGCAAAGCACTAAGATCTCTGGCTATCACCCCAGCTTGGCCATATCATGCTATGATATGGCATGCCTTGAATGGTGGACCTTATTTTCTTCTTTTATCAAATATTAACACCAAACTAATAATATAAATGTTTGGAAATATTTTGCAATCCTGCATGACTATATGCATACTTACTGTAGTTTACAACCAGAAAAAAAAAACCAAACTCAAACCAGTCAGGAGAAAGGTAGTTCATTCAGGGATGCTAAATTCCTCCATGTCAGTCACTGTTCCCCTCAACTAATAGATACTCATCTGGTCTTGGTTCTAACTCAATTGGCAAAGAGACTAATTAAACACAGCCCAAGCCTACCTTGCTTGTCCCTGAAAATCTTTCCTTCCTCAGACTCAGCTCCCAAGATGGTACTCCATGACACAATGCCACCCCGTTCTAAGATTCATTATTGGCAAAACATTCATTACCTTCCTACTTGAAATGGAGTCAAACACTGCAGATGCAGAGTCTGTGATGGTGGACCCTGAGAAAAAGTGGTTAACTTCATGTGGAAACATGGCAATTTCATTCTGACGATACATTCTGTGGTGGCGAAGTTTCGATACCCACTCATCAAAGACGTCTTCTGACTTGACCTATAATGTATTCAATTGAAAAAAGGAAAGAAGAGAATCATTCACTGGAAGGAGCAATTACTCATCAAATTGACGCCACTCCCAAAAATCCTCTTTCAGTTGGCACATAATTTCAATAACCATTCAGTGGCTGATGCCTGTAATCCCAGCACTTTGGAAGGCCAAGGAGGGAGGATCACTTGAACCTAGAAGTTCAAGACCAGCCTGGGCAACATGGTGAAACTCTATCTCTACATAAAATTGTTTTAAAAATTAGCCAGACTTGGTAGTGCATGCCAGTGATCTGAGCTACTCCAGAGGCTGAGGTGGGAGGACCACTTGGGCCTGGGAGGCTGAGGCTGCAGTGAACCAAGATTGAGCCACTACACTCCAGCCTGGGTGGCAGAGAGAAACTTGTCTCAAAAAACTAAATAAGAAAGAAAAGGAATAGAGAAATAGCCTCTTATTGACTCTTTATATTGATGTGGTCTATGGGGATAAGTTTGAGAGGGAAATGCAGGGTAAAAATGAAGGGTAAACATGTATTTTGGCTTTCTATGAGTGAGTCCAACTGTTATGCCATTTTTAAGAAAACAGAACAGTACCAATTATATTAAGCAACAAATAAACTGAAATTTATATTTATCTGCCTCTTAAAGCATTTCCAAGTTCTCTAATCCCAGCTTCTCCATGTCTACTGAAAATACTAGCACCATGTTTCTTTTTAAACTCTTTTATAATTCAGACTTTTCAGATCAATCTTTTCTGAACTGGAATGAATTAGTAAATTCTTCCCAAAATATTTAACTTTATTCATCTCTCCAACAAAGAACACGTTGCTGAGGAGTATATGTGATATGGTTTGGCTGTGCCCCATGTCTCCACCCAAATCTCATCTTGAATTCCATGTGTTGTGGGAGGGACTTGGTCAGTGAGAGGTAAGTGAATCATGGGGGCAGGTCTTTCCCATGGTGTTCTCGTGGTGGTGAGATGAGAACACCATGGGAAAGACCTGATCCAGTTACCTCTGCTGGTATGATAAGGTGGAGTTTCCCTTCACAAGCTCTCTCTCTTCACCTGCTGCCATCCACGGAAGATGGATGACTTGCTCTTCCTTGCCCTCTGCCATGATTGTGAGACCTCCCCAGCCATGTGGACTGTAAGTCCATTAAACCAATTCCCCAGTCTTGGGTATGTCTTTATCAGCAGTGTGAAAACAAACTAATACAATATGTTAATAAATGTGAAGGTTATTTCAATGAACATTTCTCCCACTCTCAGAAATAAAGCACTATACAGCAATATTATTATTTTTCCAACTTTAATTACAATCATACTCACACTTAGCCATTCTCTCCATAAATCAGCAATTATCAATTTCTAATTTCCATGAAGAATACTGTTTGCAACAAATAGTTCTTATGTAAAGATATTTGAAATGTTTATATATATAAAAAGCATCTATATACCATAGACATTTCTTAGAAGTTAATTTTTATGTGTGTGTATGACAGTGTATTGATATTTTCAAAGTAAAAAATGTTAGATACCCATATATTAGGATACTGAGACTTGTGAAGCTGTAATTTAAGATAATCCAAGAGGATGCATGGTAGGGTAACTTCTAAGATGAAAAATTCAGGTCAATCTGTGAAAATCTTTACTAATGTCAGAGATGAGAGCTAGGATATGCACATAAATGCCAGCAATATCACTCATGGAGGAACTGTTAGGTTGACTCTGGTGCTGATTATTAGAAACTGGAAGCACCTGCAGGGGCTTTTAATGTGTCATTTACAGGAAGAAGCAATACAAACACACTCACATCCATTTGTCTCCCCTAATTTATGTTCTTGAAATGTATTTCATTTCCCAGATGTGGTTAAGAGGATTTTACAGGAATCTTGTGTTATCCTTTCCACTGATCTATTCTCAGAGGCCCTTATAAGTCAGTGCCCAAGCACTCATCTTGACTCACTTTTTCATCAGTTAAACAAGGTGGAAGAATAAGAGCACTTTATTAAATTACTGCCCAAGATCCTGTTCCAGCCCCTCAAGTAGGGCCATGGGTGAATAGCCGCTTAATCTCCCTGCTACCCAGGATCCCTCATCTATAAAATAAATGGGACCAAACGGCCCACAATTAAAAACTGCCTGACTCTGAGGCTATTAACTAGAACCCATAGATAACTATATACTTACCTACACTAACAGTCATAGCTGATGTTCAAAAGCATGAACAAGAAACCAAGAAGAACTTAAATCACAGAACTTAAATCACTGCGTTTATCACAATATTAGCATTCAATCTATTTTAAGGTATTCTAATCCTTTAAAACTTATGAATAATTACTTTTATTTTGTTAGCCACAATAGTGGGTAAATAAGAACCTATTAATTCCTGACCACGTCAAAATACAGAACTAAGATTCATTGGAAGTACCTGAAGAAATAACCTAAACTCTTCTAGTGGAGACCAATCACTGAAACAGAATAAAGGATAATATTCTTTCTTAAATTTGTTTTTTCTCCCCCATTCTTTACACTAGTCATTTGCAACCATGGGTGACTTTAACCTCTAGGGAACACCTGGCAATATCTGGAGATATTTTTGGTTTTCATAACTGAAGAAGAATGCTACTGGCATCTAGAGAGAGGGCAGGGGCAGGGATACTGCTCAGCATCCCGGTATACAAAGTCAGCCTTCCATAACAAAGCATTATCCAGCTCACAATGTTAATGGTGCTGAGGCTGAGAAACTCTGCTTTACACCATCTAGATACAGTTAGGCTAGAAAATAGTGAAGATTTGACTGCCTTCCCCATTCAACCAACCACAGGCATGTTAGGTCCACAATGCTCAATCACCACATACATGCCATGGAGAAGACAGGGATACATTAAGACAAGGAGCTCATGATCTCATGCTTTGGTTTTCCTAATCCTCATGCCCCATTCCCAATATCTCAAGTAATCTGCCCACGTAAGAAAACAGTCTTAGTAGTTTCTCAATTAATTTCTAACATTCGGGTACCATCCAACATACACATACAATAGCTAAACTTCCTGAGTTTACACTGGGCTAGGCACTATGCCAAGTTTCCTACATTCAACCCGAAAACAGGAGTGTTACAATAATCTTCATCTTGTTTTAGGTGGAAAAACTGAGACTTTCAGAGATTAAGTAATTTGCCAAAGTTCAATGGCTAGTGAGTTCATTTGTAATTTGCCAAAGTTCATCAAAATCTGAACCAGATCTAGATCTCATGCCTCACGCTTTGACTGTCCCTACCACTTGCAGGAGAGACAGCACAAGAGGGTAAGCAACTTTGAAGTTCTATTTGGGAACCCACACTTTGGGGGAAAAAATCCTGACATTTCACTACAATATGAGATTTTAGTGGAATTCCTATAAAATTTGCCAAAGTTGTAAAACAGGTCTCCATGGCCTAAATGTTACATACGTTTCAGGAACACCTTTTAACCTATGGTAAATGGTTCTTCACTAAAGCTGTCACTGTCTGGATGGAGGTGGTTTGGAAACAAAGTTTTTCATTGTTGACTGCTGTCACAATCACTGTGGGCAGGGTGGTATCTAGGGGATGAGGCGACCAGGATGCTAAACCTTCAAGCAATCTGACAGACAGTCCTGCACAATGACATCTTATTCGAATAGCAACGCTGTCCATGAGAAACACTTTGGTAATGAAGGTCATCTACATGTTGGCTGAATGCCCAAAAGGCATCACCAATAATATAATAACTGACAGTCCTTCCCCAACATAAGTGAACTCTGCACAGCAGGAAGCGGCCTCACCTTCAGATGGTAGATGTGCTCCTCGGTGTCAAGGTCTATGCATTTTGATGATTTCTTTACAGACATCACTGACAGCCCGACGTCAATGCAGCCATGCAGCTTCTCTCTTTCTATCTGAGAGGCACCAAGAAGGCCACTTGAGAACCATGGTGTTAAAAGCAATAGTCACATCCCTGACACACCCCTCCACATCCACTAATAGTAAACACAAACATGGAGACTCATCAAGCACTTAGCGTGAGCCAGGGCTGAGTTATGTGCTGGGCATGCACTGTCTTCTAGAATCTCTGAGGTAGGAAGTATTCTCCCCATTTTACAGATGCAGAAACTGGCATACAGTGGGGTTAAGTAACAAGCAGTTTACACAGCCAGGACGTGAGGAAGCAAAAAAGTAAACACTATGGGCTGACTTCCATAGTAGGGAATTCATCTGTCAACTGCAATGCCTCCCACTGCATTAGTTTCTGGTGTCTAAAGTAATGTTATTAATTAAAAAAAAAAAAAGTGAGAAAAGGAGACTATGAGAGGACAGGAGAGGAAGAAGGGAGGAGAGAAGGACTCCTACAAGGGGCAGAGCAAATGGTCATTCAGAGCCCTCACACACCAACTGCCTGGGATTAATCTGAAAAGGAACTTCTTCACCCAGCGCCTTCTCCCCTGAACCCCTCGGTCACAGTATGAGCAGGAGCAACACTTGTCCTACGTTTTGTTCCTGTTATCTAGCTGCAAGGATGTATTCTCCCACCCAGAGAACTCCTTTGCACAACTCTAAGACCAGAATAGACCTTTGGATGTCCAGAGTTTGTTGGGAGAGCCCCTGCACCTTTACCTGGTAGAGGAACAGAGCCTGTCTGGAACCCAGAGCTAAGACAGAAGTGATTCCTCTCATGGTTTCCAGTTTCAAGAAGAGCCATCCGCAACTATACACGCTCTCATCTCTGAGCTGACAGTTACCCCTTTAGAATTCTCCAGTACACACTGGGCCCACAAAAAGACTTACATCAGCTTGGCTCTTGGCATATTTCAAGATTCCTTTGTCAAGATAGAAGAATCTCTGTGGGGAAGAAAGATTATTAATTAAGACATTCCATTTTGGTACCCCTTCCTTGATCTCAAATTCCAACTACAAATTAAATATCAGTGCCTAAGAACCAGGTGCTGAGTAGGAGGCACTGTGAGTGAAAATAACGGGGAGGCCAAGACCAACCTTACCTTGTGCCAGCCTTTTAAGGGCCATTTCCTCTTTTTCAGCAAAAATCCTTTCTGAACTGATGGCTCCTGGGTGTAATTCATCTCCCCCCTCAGTCCTTCCACCACTTCCCAGCTGTCCTGTTCCAACAAAAGAGTTCATGTTAAATGTCTATCTTTTTGAAAAATAATAAAGTTACAAAGCACTGCATCCTATCAGTAAATTTATTCAAGATGGGGAGGCTGGCTGGGTTTGTTGGGGAGAAGAAATCCAAATTGAATTTCCATACAGTCCCTGGGCTTCATAGATTTAATTCTATAATTTAGTGGCATCAAATTTCAGTTTTTCTAAAGTTCTTTTTTAGAAGGGAATGTTTCTTTTTGTGTTTGAAACTTAATAGGCAGAGCTAAATGTAAAGATTTTCCTGTAAGTTCTATTTTTGTTCACTTTGACATTACCATGCAATTACTGTTTGTTCACAACTAGACTTCAGTCTGAATTTTAACCAAAAGCTACAGGCATCAGGATGGAAGCTGTGTGTGTGTGTGTTGGTGTGTTGTTGAGGGAAGAAGTTGGTTTAAGAATTGGCTGAAAAGTATGAGACAATGCAAATTAGTAAATATGACGACTTGGTAGAAATAATGATTTTGTTGAAAATCAACATCCACAAATTCTAGGTATATAAATGTATTGGAAATCTGGAAGCATCAAAAGTATGTATTTGCAACAAGAATTTTCACTGCCTTTCCCAGAAATTTGTTTTTTCATCTTTTTTATTAAAAAAACTTTCCTTTCTTTGGCCAATTATTACAAATAGTTGTTACTTCTTCCACTATTGGTTATTCAGGTTATTTCAACTAATTGAAAAAGAATTTTAAAAGAAATGAAAAACAAAAACACTAAAAGTTCTGAAAAGTTACTTTTACATATTTAAAAATGCATAAATCATTGCTAGATCACCCCAAAATAAACCAAAAGTGCCGATACATCAGTGACTGGGAGTTTATTTTTATTATTATTTTTTATACTTTTTATTGGGATATAATGTACATGAAATGCACACATATTGAGTATGCCTCAATAAATTTATATATTTATACATATACTCAGTAACTGCCAGCCAGATCAGACAGAAAACATTTCCAACACAGAGTAATTAAGTTTTAACAAGCATGACACTTTGGCCAAGATTTCACCTGGACTAACTTCCTCTGAGTCAAATCTTCAGGCCACAGGCAGGTGGTACAAACAGAAGCCAGAGGCATTGGAAGATGGACAGTGAGTCTGCACCAGCACCAGGGAGCAGGAGGTAGTTAGATTCAAGTCCTGGGACACAAGTAGTCTAATAGGGAGGGCACAGAAATCACATGGGGTCCTGATTTGGCTCTGGCTCAGTTTCTGTGTTGTCCTCAAGTTCAATACATGGGACCCACCTGGTAATGAGAACCCTTTCCTGTGTTAGCAACTGAACTCTTTACATAATGATCATGATGGGCCTGCCTTCTATCTGAAGGCACTTTACTGTGAATCCAGTTAAAGGTATATACCAGAGTTTTAAAATATCACCGTGGGATCCCAAAATCTAGAGTTGTGAAAGAGACTTCTTTAATCGAAAAAAGCAAAGCTTGGGGAAATAAAGCAAAGAAAAAAAATTTTCAGCTTTTAAATTAGAAGATTTTTTTATTTTAGGAAAGTAGCAATGTTGAATGAGATTTCTTCATACGAACTATTAACAATTATTCCAGGCCACTTAATTACACTCTGACAATAAATGCATACTACTAAGTGATGGGAAGTCAGATTTCCCATTACTTAAAAACACACACACACACAAAAACCTTACTTAAATTTATTTTAGCTCAGAAAGACATTCCTCAAAATTTAACACATTTTACCCGTCTAAATGTTAATGTGTTATATCGCACTCAGCACAGAAAGTCAACACCAGAACAAAAGAATGCCAAATTACAGGGTTTATTGCCGGCGACCACAGAGGACTCACGTCTCTCCAACCCATGGCAGAGAAAGAAGAGTGACAAGACCTTTTTATACCCACAAAACCACCTTGGGAGTGGGGGTGAGGAGCGGAGATGGGAATGAAAGCTGTCAATCACCTCCTAGGCTGAGACAAGGGTGAGGGGGCTCCAGACATTCCAAGGGCCAGGGGACTTTTGTCATTCCGATTGCCATCTGTGGTTTACAGAGGTCAAGGTAAACATTAGTTTATACATTATTTGGACAGGTGTGGGGTCCACATAATTTTAGGTTACTTGGCGCCACGATGGAATTATCTGGGGGTGCTTACTTTGGTAAACAAAGGCCAGCAATTCTGGCAGTTACAGATAGGAGAAAGTATGCAGCTTGTCCTCTCTTTGCATTTTGCAAGGTAATCTTAGTAGTTTACAGAAGCCATGGCTAGTAGTCATTGTCAGGAGAATGGAAACAGTTTCCCATTTTAAAATGGCATTGTACTGGTTCTAATTCTAGGCCAGCTGTATCACAAATGAATCTTTAAGGTTGTCAAGTTAAAAATTCCACCTCAAATTTCACCTCCTCCAGTGGAAAATACCATTTCATCCCTAGAGACTCCATAAGTACGCCACCTTATTTTTTCAGAGGTTCACCACTTTCTTATGATAATATGTATATGAGGGTTCATCATCCCTGCTGAACAGCAGGCTCTTTGAGGGCATAAAAGGTCCAGTGTATTTCTGATTTCCCCACAATGCCTAATCTGCTGTCCTGTGGATGGTAAGCATCTAATTAGCAAATAAATAAACTTAGTCTTGGAATAAGTCTGCAAAGAGATTTATCTTCTTGGAATGTCATAAATTAGCATGCATTTGAAGTGTGCCCAGTATCTTTGAATCAAATGACTATTTACAAATTAGATACAATGCAACCACATTTGTGAAAGAGTGGGGTGTGGGTGCTGTTGTCACTGTTAAATAAAAATCCAAGACTTAAAATCTTCTGAAAAGTACTCTAAGTGGATCAAGCCCTTTTGATTTGTTTAAGACTCTCAGGCAAAAGCAACCTGTAGGGCACTAATACTAAACAATCAGGCACATCTGCTCAAAACATTCAATCGTGCACAATGCAAATACCAAAAGGAATCAGATGTTATTGCATCCTTTACAAAACTGAAAAAAAAAAATAGATAAGATCATACCTATAAGTTTAAAGGAAAACAAGAATTAAATCTCAGAACTATTTCAAAAATTCCTGTTAGAACTGGATTGGTCCTCCTCCTGAGGCAGCATGCATTCCTGTCAGTGAGCGATCATGGAGGGCAGGGAAATAAAGTACATCTGTTGGCCCTTCACGTAAACAAACAAACAAAAAAATAAGGGTTGCATTTTTTTTTTCCTACAAAACACTGTTTTCTTCATTTATCTTCCACTTGGGCTCAGAACTTGAAACTGTTACCAGGTTGGAATCCAGATTTGAAGTATTTAAGAAAGTGAAGGCTCTCTTTGTCTGAAAAAGCAGTGCCACCAAGTCCTTTTCCAGACTTGACATCCAAATCCACCGCCCCACCCCATTGCCAACTTCCCTGTCTGTCACCGTCCAGGAGTCACAAGGCCAACATCCAACCTGGTAGTTCTCAGTGAGGTTGCGACTGCTCCCTCAGGGCCACTGTGGAATCCTGGAGCCACTTTTGGGTGTGACAATGATAGGGGGATGCCTCCAGCATGGAATGGCTGTGAGCTAGGAATGTTAGATGTCCTGCAATGCCTCGGACTTGCACCAAGACAAAGCTGTCCCACACCCCAAAGACTTCCCAAAGTGCCATTAGCCATTTCCATAGATGAAATGTGCTTAAAATCACTTGAGCATGGAACAGAACTCTGTTTCACACATACATCAAAGTATTTTTGCATGGTTTTTACACACTCTTCGGATGTAACTGCTGAGTAACTGAAGGAAGACTGTATTTTGTTCTTTCTAAAACTTTACCACATGTCTCCAACTATTTTAGAGAACGATGTTGCTGAATGTCATGCCATCTGAGTTATTAATACCATACACCTGTATCTTCTGCATTTACAGTTGTCACTTTCTATGTATAGGTACATCTTACCACTTCATTATGTCTTATGGTATAGTCATGACTGGGCTTTTACATATGGAAATACATGTTTTAACATTAACCACATTCTTTGAATTTTCCTTTATATTACAGTAAAGCATGATGTTGATGCTTTCAAAATTAGGTATTCAAGGAGGTTACATTAATCATGAATTTCAGGGCTGGGCGTGGTGGCTTACAGCTATAATCCCAGCACTTTGGGAGGCCGAGACAGGTGGATCACGAGGTCAAAAGATCAAGACCATCCTGGCCAACATGATGAAACCCATCTCTACTAAAAACACACAAAAAATTAGCTGGGTATGGTGGCGCGTGCCTGTAGTCCTAGCTACTCCAAAAGCTGAGGCAAGATAATCGCTTGAACCCGGGAGGTGGAGGTTGCAGTGAGCCAAGATCGCACCACTGCACTCCAGGCTGGCAACAGAGCAAGACTCTATCTCAAAATAAAATACAATAAAATAAAATATAATGAATTTCAGTTGGACATAGTGGCTCGTGCCTGTAATCCCAGGATTTGGGGAGGCTGAAGCAGGAGGAATGCTTGAGCCCAGAAGTATAAGGCTACAGAGAGCTATGATCACACCACTGCACTCCAGCCTGGGTGAAAGAGACCTTCTTAAAAAAAGTTATCATTTTTAATATGTACAAAATTATGTATGTAACATATATCATATTTACATATATAAATTATATATATATAAATTTGTACGAGAGTAAATTTTGGAGGAGAGTAAAGCAATCATTAAAATACTGGTCATAATAAAAGGACATTGGTTAAGTAGATGACAGGGTAAGAACCACTAATCAACTTGGCACAAATTTTGTGTACCGTTGTGAGAAAGAATACTAGGCCAGGACACAAGATATGTAAAATCACTTTGAAAACTGTACAGGCTTAATATTTTCTTGTAAGTACGTCCTGCTGGTTCCATCTTTAAAATGAGTATTTTCTACTTCCTTTCCTCTCTATTCCCCAGCCACCACCCTAACCTCGGCTCTCATCCATTCCATTAGCTCCCCACTTGTACTAAAGTCAACAACCATTTA